ATGAAAAACCACTGGACTGTATACTTTTTTTTTTTTTAAAATTTTTTAATGTTTTATTTATTTCTAGGAGAGAGAGAGAGAGAGAGGGAGAGACAGCATGAGCAGGGGAGGGTCAGAGAGACAGGGAGTGACAGACTCTGAAACAGGCTCCAGGCTCTGAGCTGGCAGTCAGCACAGAGCTCGACGCGGGGCTCGAACCCACAAACCGCGAGACCATGACCTAAGCAAAAGTCGGACGCTTAACCGACTAAGCCACCCAGGCGCCCCTGGACTGTATACTTTAAAAGGGTGAATTTTAGGGTCTGTGAATTATATCTAAAGAAAAATAAGATATTAAAAAAATTACACCTTGGAATATTTTTTTTTGGACTACCAAGGTGACGTGAATCACCCTTCTAGCACCATCCATGGTAACAACTTCCCAAGGATGGGTTTTTTTACCCCCTGTTTTACTTGCCATCAAGGCAACTTTCCTCGTGGATCCCTAAAAGAGGTAGAGTGAGTTTTACTCCTTGAGGCCACAGACCTTTGGGATTTCCAGAACTAGAGGCATAAAATCTCCTGTTAGCTTACCTTGAATGAGCCCTAGGCTGACTTCTAACTACTCCTCCTGTCCTGCAAACCCACCAAGTTTTTAATCAAATCTAATCAGGTTCTCCGGGTTTAACAAATGCACTCAGAGCAAATAAGAATTAAGAGCTCCTTTAGTCTTCACCTTTCAGTTTTTCTCTTCGATTTTAGCATATTAATTCCTAAGTACCTTTTAAAAGAATTTAAAGACAGCATTCTTAGCTATTTTCAGTGTGAAGGTTCTTCCACATATGTTAACTATTATTTCCAAAATGAAAATTCTCTGTTTACTTTTCAAGTTAAAATGAACTCTAGTGAGTTAGGACAGGATCTGCAAAAACAAAGGACAGCCCGATAGAGTCTACGTTAAAGTACCTTCACTATTCTTTGTGACTTCAGCTGATTACAGTAGATATTTAAGACTAAAAATATATTCCAATGAAAAGTTTATTTTAGAAAAAAATTAATTTGAGAGGGAGTCTAGTTTTAAAAGAATTATAAGTAGGTGACTCCTCCTCTTGGTATCAAGGCTCTTTACACAATTAAAGTAAATAAGATTGCAGCAAGAATACACAAAGAAACCAAAGAAAGATTAGTCCCCAAATACATGCACACATATATGGAAACTTGGCATATGATGCTTATAGATCCCTAGGAGGAAAACCAGAATGTTCAATAAATGATGCTAGGAAAAACTGATTACCCGTCTGGAAAATAAATGAAATTGGACCCCCATTTCACCCCACACAAAAATCAATCACATATGGATTAAAGACATAAATACGAAAGGCAATACTATTTTAAAGCTTTCAGAACCTCAAGAAAGAGAACAATGTATTAAACAAGATGCCAAGGGGCACCTGGCTGACTCAGCTGGTTAAGCGTCCGACTCTTGATTTCTTGATATGCTCTCAAAGTTGTGAGACTGAGCCATGCTTGGGGCTCTGCACTGAATGTACAGCCTACTTGGGATTCTCTCTGGCGCGCACGCGCTGCCCCTCCTCAGTCACATGCATACACTCTCTCAAAATAAACATTAAGAAAAAAGTAAAAAGCCAAAGCTTAAAAAAAAAAAGATGCTGAAAGCATTCGCCATAAAGGCAAAGTCTGACACACTCAACTACACTAAACCAGAGAATGCATCTATCAAAAACCATATAAAGTAAAAGACAAGCCATTTACTGGGGGAAAGATATTTGCCACCTGCATAACTGATAAGACTCGGTGCCATAAATAAATAAACAACTTCCAGAAGTGGATTTTTTAAAGTCAAAAAGACAGGCAAAAGACATAAGCAGACATACAGAATTGTGGAAGGTCTGACATCATCAGTAATTACAGAAATGCAAATTAAACTTCTGAGTACTATTTCTCACCTACCAGCTGGGTGAAAAGAAACAATTCAGGTTAATTACAAATGTTGTTGTACAGATGTCTCAAATGTTGAGGAACGGAAAAAAGTGAACCTTTAACACACTGCCTGGGGAAGTATAAACTGGTATAACCACTTTGTAAAACAATTCAGAATGGGGAGCACCTGGGTGGCTCAGTGGGTTACACGTCGGACTCTTAGTTTCAGCTCAGGTCATGAACTCATCCATTGGTGAGCTAGATCCCTGAGTCAGTCAGTGCAGATAGACTACAGTGTCCGAGCAGAGCCTGCCTGGGATTCCCTGTCTCTCTCTCAAGAAAAAAAAAAATTTCAGTATGTCCTAGCAAAACTGAAGATCCACAACTCTACTCCCAGGCAAGGAGACATGCTTTAGAATAGCCATAACATAACAGCTGTTGATGGCAAAGAGTGAAAATTAAATAAATAAAAAAAAAGAAAATGGAAAATGTGCCTAAACATCCATTAACAGGAAGATGGATGAACGGCGGTAAAGTCATATAATGGAATGACACAGAGCAATAAAGAGTGAACTACAACACAGCAACATCAATGAATCCCATAAACACAATGTTGTACCAAAAGAAAGTCATGGAACAGACAAAACTAAACAATCCACTATTTATGAATACATATCTACGTGGTAAAACTATACATTAAATCAAGCAGCATGGAAAGAGAGAGATACTGTCAGGGCTTTGAAAATATTTGTATTATTTCTAAAGCATGATAGGAGTACAGGGGCATTTATTTTATTTGTATTCTCTAAATCTATAGATGTGTCAAAAGTACTATTTTGTACATATGAAATAATTTCTCATTTAAAAATGAAGTAAATGCATGGTTATGGTAGAAAACATGAAAGATATAGAAAACTTAGGACAAAAATAAAAATTATCAATAATCCCATCACCCTGAGATAATTACAGTATTTAAAAGAAAAAATATATTTAGTGTCTTCTTCCACTATTTAAAAATATTTTTTTAATGTTTATTTATTATTGAGAGACAAAAAGAGACAGAGCATGAGCAGGGAAGGGGCAGAGAGACAGGGAGACACAGAATCCGAAGCAGGCTCCAGGCTCTGAGCTGTCAGCACAGAGCCCAATGAGGGGCTTGAACTCACAAACCGCAACATCATGACCTGAGCTGAAGTCAGATGCTTAACCAACTGAGCCACCCAGGTGCCCCTCCACTATTTTTATTTACTTTTTTTTTTTTACAGCTTTATTGAGGTACTTATAGTAAATTAGACATATTTAAAATGTATAATTACATGAGTCAAACATATGTAAACATTGGTGAAAGTGTCTTCACAATCAAGAAAACGAAGGGGCTCCTGGATGGCTCAGTCAGTTAAGGGTCCAACTCTTGATTTTGGCTCAGGTCATGGTCTCATCGTTCATGACATGGAACGCAGTGTGGGGCTCCGCTCTGACAGCTCAGAGCCTGCTTGGGAGTCTCTCTCTCTCTGTCCCTCCCCCACCCCTCTCTCTCTCAAAATAAACCAACAAACAAAATGAATACACTCACCATCCCCAAATCACGCCCCTGTCCAATCCACCTCTCCTTCCTTTCCTTTGCACTCATCCTCTGTTTTCTGTTACTTTAGGCTAGTCTGCATTTTCTAGAATTTTGTCAGGGTTGAACATACTTTATGCACATGTCACACTTTCATTGAAACTTTCAGAAGTTTCCCAACATGATTTACCAATTTACACTCTTCCACCAGGAGAGTACAAGAAGTCCAGGCGCTCCATACCCTTAGCAACATTTGATTAGTGGCCTTTTCCATTTTAGCTATTATTTTTCATATTCCCCAGGTAAATACACATAAAATGACTCGTCTGAATGGCAACAAAAAATTTAAACTTCAGTGGTGACTGAAGTGACACTTATTATAAAGAAATCTTCACGTAAGAGCATTTTTTAACTGAAGCAAAGCCCTTAGTGTATGCCTCATGAATTCTGGTGTTTTTTTTTTTTAAAGTCTGATTTCCACAAAAGAGATTTAGAAGAATCACTGAAATATATAAGAAGGAATCACATGACTTAAAATGTAAGCTGGGCTTTTTAGGGGCGCCTGGGTGGCTCAGTCCATTGAGCGTCCGACTTTGGATCTCACGGTTCGTGGGTTGGAGCCCCACGTCCGGCTCTGTGCTGACAACTAGCTCAGAGCCTGGAGCCTGTTTCAGATTCTGTGTCTCCCTCTCTCTCTGACCCTCCCCTGCTCATGCTGTGTGTGGCTCTCTCTCTCTCAAAAGCAAAAACATTAAAAATAAAATGTAAGCGGGGCGCCCGGGTGGCTTAGTCGGTTAAGCGTCCGACTTTCGCTCAGGTCATGATCTCGCGGTTCGTGGGTTCGAGCCCCGCGTCGGGCTCTTTGCTGACTGCCAGCTCAGAGCCTGGAGCCTGTTTCAGTCTGTGACTCCCTCTCTCTCTGACCCTCCCCTGCTCACGCTGTCTCTCTCTCTCCTAGAAATAAATAAAAAGCATTAAAAATTTAAAAAAAAAATAAAAAAATAAAATGTAAGCTGGGAATCACAGTACTGGAGCTCGGGTGAAATACCCTCCAACAGTTTGTGAAAGTGTGACTTTAACACTGATAACATCTGAACCCAAGAGACCAAAATACCACTAAGATAGTGATCATAATTTGAACGAGGGAAGATGAAAATCTTTCTTACAATAGTTCTATTCAGTCTGCTCAGCTACTTGCTCTCAGCTCCGCTACTTAACCATGAATGAGGAACAATGCTGTGAGGTGCACTTTACCGTGAAGGCATTCGATTGTCCTTATATTCTTTCTAAAAGGACTATAAACTCCCCTCTACCGCCCTGAACTTCTCCTTCTAATCCTTGTCTCTCAAAATAAGGACGCTACACTCCGTATCTTTATTTCTTCATTCTCTATTTACTCCTCAGATTCATTCGTATTTGGCTTCCATCCTTATCATTTTACTTACATTATGTTTGCTGAGGTCAATGACCTTCTTCTATCCTAACTACCAAAGCCAAGAGACATTTAATCAGCGTCTACCTTCCAGATCTTTCTGACTCATCTGACTGAGATAGATTTCTCTCCTGATTAAAAGTCTTTCCTCTCCCGGCTTCTATGCACCACGATCTGCTAGATTTTCCTCCTTCCTTCCAGAATTCTCCTCCTCACTCTCCATGGCTGTCTCCATACGCTTCAGTGTTGGTGTTTTCCATCTTCTGTCTTCTTTTCCTGCTGTTCTTACCGGAATGATTTCTTCCACTCTCACAGGACTAATGACACAAATCTACGATGCTTCCAACATTTACAACTCTTATCCTGACTTCAGAAAATCCCAATACTACACAGGTCTACCAGATGGCCTCTGAGAAACACTGCTTCTCTCTCAACCTGAATTAACCTCTCAATTTGTTAGCTTTATGCGTGAACACACTTACAATTCAGGTGGAGCCAATAACATACAAGAGATACTTTTGAAATATTTTTCTTGAGTTTAAAGAAACACAAATTTTTATGAAGACTTTCCTCCAGTTATGAAGGTAACTCATAGTAACAAAAACTACAAAACACGAGAGATAAAAAAGGCAAATCTCCTCCAGCCCCAGCCCTCAAAGGCAAGCAGTATTAACATTCCCTTCCAGAAGAAGCAGTTTTTAACCACAATGAAGTTACATGTCAAAATATCAAATTGGTAAATACAGCGTGTTGCTGGTAACTCAGTCTTTTCCAGGCTACTTTTTACAGTGTTAATCAGAGAAGAACAAAACTCTACTACATGCCTACCTGGAGAGAGAACCTGAATAATATGCTAATAACCAAAGCAGTCCTTTCCCATGCTGTACTTTTAAGTATTCTAAAGGAATCAGTGTTTTTGGCTTGGCATCTATCTTGCCTATACCTAGACCTCTGTGTGCAACATACCCCACAAATCAGCCATCCTATTTCCCTTTATTTTTTTCCCCTTTATTTAAAGGAAACCACAGCGAAGAAGAAGAAGGGGGAAAAAATGGAAGAGACAGAAGCCAAATCTAAAATCAAGCTGGGCGTATAATTCGCGTTTTGCAAAAACCATAGGGAAGTGACATTTTAATACCCCTTTTCGGCTTCTACAAGTTTCAGAAACGTCACAGATTAAAGACACTTAGCTAGTCTGTTGATATCGGACTCTCCGGGCAAAGGAAGTTCGCTTCCCTCTTCGCCCAGAGCCCACCTGCGCCGGGCAGAAAGCGGGGTACGGGCTGGGGTCTCCCCTCCCTCAAGTCCGGGGGTCCCACTCAGCGGCCCCGGGCAGGGCGGGGGCCGGCCTCGGCCGCACCCCCACTCTCAGTCACTGCGCCCCCTCCCCGCCCAGGCCACAGTGAGCTCGGCTGTCGGGGGACCCCAGACCTCCCCGAGGGCTCCGGGGAGCAGGTGTCGCCGAGGAAATTCGGGAACAGCCTCCCCCCTCCCCAGCCCCCAAGCAAGACAACATTTCTAAAGAGTGAAAGGAGACGAAAAACCGTACAGAAGAGTAAGCCCCGGGAGGCTGGGGCAGGGGCCGCTCTCACACCGCGCCCCCCGCGCTCCTCGGGCCCCACCTGGGGGCCCCCCGACGGCGGTTGCTCGAGGCCAGCGCCCGGGAGCAGTCCCCCGGCGCACCTGAGCCCAAGGTGCCCTCCCCGCCCAAGACCTGCCGCCCGGCCGCCCCGCGCGGGGTCTCCGCGCGCCGCCCCCGGGCGCCCCCGCTCCACACCCGGCCGAGGCGGCGCCGCGCGGCCGCGGCCGGTTACCTCCTGCAGGCAGCGGGCACTCCGCCGTGGCCTCCTGGCGGAGCCTGGCCTCGGGTCACCCCGCGCGGCCGCGCCCCGAGACCCCGCCCCCTCCCCAGGTCCGCCCCGCCCCTCGGGAGGTGCGCGCCGAGGGGCGGGGCGGGGCGGGGCCGCCCGACCGGTACCTGTGCGCGCGAGCCCGCGCCCTTGGCCCCGCCCTCCTCGCCTCTCCCAGCCGCTGCCCTGCGCCGCTCCCTCCCGAGAGGTCTTCAGAGAGCATGGAGGGGTCAGGAGGGAGACAAAAAGTAAGCGAGGTATAGAGGGAACGTTTTTTGGCCTGATGAACTTTTATGTACAGGGGACGAAGGCGCAGTCTTTCTTGCCAGAGGTGCGGCTGCGCCCTTTTCTTGGAAACGGAAGAACCTTTTCTTAGCTGCCTTATAGTGTTACTTGACTTCACACCCTAATTTTAAATTCTTTAAGAATCAGCCCGCTTCTCTTCACTTTTGTGGCTTTACATCGACTACCACCTTGCTAGCAATAGGTATGTTGGAAGGTGTCTACTACAGAGCCCTGGACTCCATATTATGCTAGGATCCACTGTAGCCCCCTGGCAAGGAGTGGGCTGACCCTTTTCTTGTATGCCTCCCACGGTGGGAGTCTCAGCACTGTTCTTGGAAAGTTGTTGAGTGGATTCCTGGATTATCTGTTGATGAATGGCTCAGCTTTTGAAAGGCTGACAAAGTATAAATTGAAGGAAAGATAACCCTTTTCGTCCCACGGAGCAGTCTTTCCCAAAGTGGGTAAGTGGGTTCTGCTCATCTCCAGCCCCTACAGATGCCCGAGTGCAGGTGGAGGGGGGGCTAGATCCGAAGATCAAATGAATCTGGGGAAACAGACGCAGTATAATTACTTTCCGGTGCACTTACAGGCTTAAGACCTGTGTTTTACTTTGTATCATTGTGTAGTTCTCAAATTTATTTGACCTGAAGGGTGGCAGGCCAAAATGTGCCCCTTTGACATAAGGGTTATTTTAAATTAAAGGTGCTTGAACAGCGGAAACCAGAAGATCACTCTGATCCTCTTTTTTCTTCCTCAAAGTGGAAGATGAAACTCCTGAGTCAAAGATGTCTTCCTTATTCTGGGAGGCAAGAAACATTCTTCTCACCGGAGATAGGGAGTGAAGGACCGAGGCAGTTTATACACATACATCTTGTTAAGCTAACTCTGATCTTCCTAGTCTCTTCACTGTTATCTGACCCAGCTCAAGCCCCCTTTCCATTATTTACCACCCTTTGTCCAACTTCGTATATAAATGTTCAGTTCTAACTGCTTCTTTGGATCTTCCTTCTCCTGTAAGGGCTGCTGTGTACATGTAAAAAATCTGTATGCTTCGCCCATTCATCTATGTCAATTTGATTCTCAGTCCCAGCCAGAAACCCTAAAAGGGTGGCAGTAAAGTTTCACCTCCCCTACACACCACACAACTCTCTTCCTGAGAAATGGCTATTGCCGTACTGGGGCATTAGTGTTTCAACTCACACACTTTCGATAAACGCTGCTTAAAAGTCCTCGAACACTCACCTTCAATCATTTCTCTATTACAAATGTTTGCAAAGTTCTGTAGTGTTTACACAAAGCTTTCACATGAGTCATCTCATTTGACCCTCACAATTATGATGTAACTGTTATTATCCCTGTTTTACAGTTGAAAATATTGAGAGTTAAACAAAGAGTGGTTACCTGCGTATAGAGTCAAGACTGACTCTGGACTTCAGACTCCAAGGCTCTTAAATATATATTATATAAAATGTGTGCGTGTGTGTGTGTGTGTGTGTATATATATACATATATGATGTGCTCTATTTAAAGGTCAAATGAGAGAATATGTATATTCTCTCTGACACTTTGTATTAGAAAAACTCAGTTTCCTGCCTGTTGTAGGGAAAACTCAGTTCTTTCCTCCTCTATTTCTCTTGCCCCTGTATCTCCTTTACTCTTCACATAAAACATTTCCTTTCCAACATTCCTTGTCACCAGATATGTGGAGGTATTCCCCCCACACCAAGCAATTCACTGCAACACCTGATAGATGTCCCACAATTCAACTCAATTCTGACATTACTCACGCGGAGAGAGCATCAGATCCCACAGGTGAAGGGCTCAGTCCCACACGACTGTCTTCCTGCACCCCACCCCCCACATCACATGCCGGGTTGTGCTTCTGACCAACCAGCTATAGATCAGAGGTTCCAATGACACACACACACCCCCCACTCCTTGGGTCCAATGAATTTGCTAGAGCAGCTTACAGAACACAGAGAAATGCTTACTTAGTTTCACCAGTTTATTACAGGATATGATAAAAGACACAGATGAACAGCCAGATGAAGAGAGATATATAGGGCAAGGTCTGGGAGGGTCTCCATGGACTTGGGGTGCATCACCCTTCCAGTGCGGATGTATATGCCAACCTGGAAGGTCCTCAAACCTTGCACTACTGGGATTTTATGGCGGCTTCCTCACATAGGCACGATCATTTATTAGCCCCGCTTTCAGCCATTCTCCCTTCTTTGGAGGATGGGGCGTAGGCAGAAAATTGCAAGTTTTTAATCATGGCTTGGTCTCTCTGGTGACCATCCCTCAACCAGGTGCCATCCAGGAGCCCACACAGAGTCAACTAGTGCTCTTATCACTTGGAAGTTTATAAGGGTTTTAGGAGCTCTGAGCCAGGAACCTGGGGCAGAGACAGATATTTATTTTCTATCATCTCACAGCTTTTAATAGAGCACATCCTTGGCTGGGAACCTAGATGCATGTGTTAGGTCTCAAGGTGAGGGACCTTTACCTATCCTTTGCTCCCCAGCAGCACCTGACGTCATAGTGCAGGGCATAAAAGTTTCGCTCACATATGCTGAGGGGAAAAAGAATGAGTCAATGTGTGCATGCTCAGTAGTACTTATAAAACTGGACTGAGTCCTTCCGTCCCTAACTGAACAATCTTACCAACCTCCTTGCTGATACACAAGTCCCAAGAGAAAGCATTCCCTGAACTGTTCACCATTTCCTTCCTTCTTCCACCTAAAATGGTGTTCTTAGAAGAACACTTCTGTCAACAAAGGTAGTTCTTTGAAAACATTGAAACTGTGTCCTTTGTTTTCCTTGAAACGGGCCTCCTTCCTGTCCCAGAGGCAAGATAAGAATAGAGGATACTATACACCTTTCTTTGCGCCCTTGTATTTTAAACTCTTCCCATAAAGTGACGATTGTTGCAACATTCCAAGTGGCTTTGGTTGGCTTATTTTTAATGTGAAATATTAATGTTTAATGTCGTACATTCTTTGAAGCAGACCTGAGGAGAAAAATAAAATTGGGTTGATGCAGATAACGTTGCTGCTTAGATTTTCCTACTCATGTTCTTTGATTTGAGAGAGACCAATCACCTCAACCCTGTCCCAATCCCTTTTCATTCATCCTGCATTTAGTGCAGTTTATAAATGACAGGTGACTCAGTCCAGCCCTTAGCCTCCCCTCCCACTACCCGTTTTTGGGTACATTTTTGACCTTCTGAACCAACTGCTGTTCCCTCAATTGCCAAATTTGCACTCCCGTCTCCCTTACCTCTATGGTATGGGTATTAGTTGGCAAATTCACGTTCATTCAGCTGAAGTATCCCCTCTTCTGGAAGATGAAGTGCCATCACAGCATCCCAGAGTGAACTGGGTGCCTAACCCCGGCACTCCCGCCACCAGACACCCATCTCTATCATAGCACCTATATGATCATTGTAATTGTCGGCTTCTCTGCCCTCCTCCTAACTTCAGTCCATGTGAGTTTCCAGTAGACAGGAATTGTAACTTCCTGAGCCTAGCACCTGACACACAGAAGGCTTTCAAATATTTGTTGAAAAATAAGGAAAAAAAAGTCTTTAAAAAAATATAAAGTCCTAGAATGCTCGTGAAGCAATATCACAAACACAAATGGTCATATGAATAAAATGGGGGTGGCAGACAGATTTCTGCTTCCTCCCAAATTATTTTCTTCTCATTTTCTGCCTTAGAAAAGCATTCATTCATTTATGTACTTGTTCAACTAACATTCTTGAGTACCAATGGTATATCAGGAACAATCCTAAGCGCTTGCTTCAGAGGGAAAGTGATATTTCTGCAAAGCCATGAATGCTGACCAAACTTCCGTTCCTTTTCCTGAACACAACGCTGAATTGCTTTGTCCATTCTCCCTTTACGTGGGGTCAGTTCTCACCAATGGAATTGGAGGAGAGTAGAGTTTTACTTCTGGGTCGAGGCAATTAAGACCTGGTGAGCCTTCTCCCCACTCTCCCCTTCCTTGACCACCTTGGACCATTGCTGAAGCTGCAAAGGTGACCAGATGGAAGTCCAGATCCCTGGTTGGCTTCACAGAACAAAGCTCTCCCCACCACCCACTAACCTTGATTGGATTGTGATGGGAGTGAAAAATAAACTTTACGGTGTGAACTACTAACATTTAGGGAGTTTTTCCCCAGGAGGTAGCTTTACTTACCCTGATTAACACTGTCAGAAATGATGGCATAAAGATTACATAAGACACCAGAAAATGTCTCCTGCTCTAGGCATTGCACAGGGAGACACGGAAGATGAAAATTTATCAAAGATATTAAGGCCACAGAGACTTAAGTTTGTCCCAAGTGGACAAATAGCCATCTTTATGGATACTCAGCTCTTT